ATAATCATTACTACTGTACCTATGTATCCTTATAATCATGACATTGGACACTATATTGGTTGAGCACTGGACTTAGAGGCAATCTTGTGACTGAAGTCTCTGATCATTCTCAAGTGGATAACATAGTTAACACATCCAAGGGTGCAATGATATTATGGTGTAACACTAGTGCTGCTGAAGATTATTTCTGGGCTGTATAGCTACAGAAAGAAATCAGTGCTGCCTCAAAAGGAAATATTGTGTTCAATGGAGGAAAAGTCAACAAAGGCGATTTCCATCTTCCTGTAGTCCCTTGGTTACACGCTTTCTCTTGTGCAATTTTACTACACAATCCTGAAACAACACTGAAAAGAAAGATTATCTAGTCATTTAACTCATGCGGTCTGTGGGATATTGCTATGCACCAAATTTCCTATTTTACAACAGCCACCACATTTTAAACTAAAGAGTTTATCTTCACTTGAGCCTCTTCCCAGCACTCCATATAAATGCTAGTCTTTTTCTTTGTGAGTGGATTAAGAGAAGAAAGGTAATGCAAAAGGATTTTGTTTTGTGAATATGTCATGCAATTAATAACTACTTATATAACTACTCATCACAGAATCACTGACGTGGTTTTCCACTGATTGAAGTGATGTTTAGCTTTCTAAGTTGTAGTGCCTTTTGCAGAACTATTCCTTAATACTATCTTCACAGTGTCTATTGGCACCATTCTGTCCACCAGTGAGTTGGAGGCAGGATGCGATTTATGGCAGTACACAGGCCAAGCCATCTACTTTACAGCAAAAGTCTGGAGAGTCTATTTAGAGATCACACCCCAGTAGTCTACAGAGTCTACATGAAACTGAACTCCTTAGCAAAACTATACAAACGTCTCTCAGTAAGAGCAAGGTTTTTACTCAAGCAAAATACAGAGGACAGGATAGTTGCTTGATACAAATTGTGTACTGAATATCAATCCTTGTCACTTCTAACCATGCAGACTCCAGAGCCATTGATGGGTGAATTTCCCAATCTCCATCCTGATCGGATAACTACAAGTATCTGCAACAAAGCAATGATATTCTATTTGTGAAGTTTTAAACTCAGTATGAAAAAGTGAGGGGAGGAAGAAAAATGTTCAATTTTGGGAAATTTAAATCCAAGTTCAAATTTCGAAAACAAAGTCAAGAAATTGCAGGTTCCTAATCTTCATTATTACAGTATGTTGAATACTACTAGCTATCACTACATTCTATTTTGGTTTTGCCAATAGCACTGCATAATTTCATTCATCTCATCTATGTAGGCCAGGTCTTAGGGTCATTATGCTATCTTAAAGGTTCTACATAAATGCATATGGTTGAAGTTACAACTTCTAGCACATTCAGAAAATGTAGTTATTTATGGGGGTGAAAAGTGCATTTTGGCTTTGTGTCACTGTTTTAGAAGTTACAGGAAATTTCTAACTCATGCTGTTGAAACAATCATAACAAGAATGATAGAATGTCAGTATTGAAGTTAATAAGGTCAGATTAATAAAAGATAATTATTTTAGCAGAGAAATATGTAAATTTTGAGCAAATAATGATTTTTATCTGCAGTGAACTATGAGGCAGAGGTGGTTCTGATGATCATGATCAGCAACTCAACTGTGCTGGTGCAATACTGACAACTAACCACACAGAGGGATGGAACTGATTGTGAGGTTAAAAGAAACAGTGACAGACTTTACACATTTGAACTCTAATCTGAGGGCCACATACCTCTCACTTTTCAACACTGGCAGCCATCTGCCAGAATTTCTTCAGAGACTTAAGGGAGAGCGTGAGGAAATCTGGGCAGAAGGTGAGAATTTTTGTGGTTAAGTAAGGGCTATAAGTGTTAAATTGTTTGCAATTTTTTTTCAGTTAGTTCTGTTAGTCATTACATAGAGTTATACATATCTGGTTACTGTAATTTCAGGAAGGATGTAGCAGCAGTGGAGAAAATGGAAAATAGATTGTCAATGGTGACGCTAGAATTTGTGATTTATAGTATCAGGAAAGATCAAGCAGAGTGGGAGGTCTCGTTTCAAGAAAAGTGAAGATTGAAGGGTGGTCTGATAGAAGCCTTTAAAATTATGAAGGGGTTTGATAGGATAGGATGGAGGAGGTTGTAGAACTTGTGAGGGAGACCAAAACCAGGGGCACAAATAAAATACACTCACCAACAAATTCAATAGGTAATTCAGGAGAAACATCTTTAGCCAGAGAGTAATGAGAAATGGCACTTGTAACAAAGTGAGTGAATGAGGTGAACAGTATAGACTTATTTGAGGGAAAGCTGGAGAAACAAACAAAGGAGAAAGGAATAGAATGAGACGGTGAGATGAAGAGAGGTGGAAGGAGAGTCATGTGGTGCATAACAAACACCAGCATGGACTCTTTCAGCCAAATGGCCTGTTTCAATAAAAGCCAAAAGAACAGCAGACAATGGAAATCAGAAACAAAAACAGAAATTGCTGGAAAAGCTCAGCAGGTCTGGTAGCATCTGTGGACAGAAATCAGAGTTAACGTTTCGGGGCTAGTGACTCTTCTTCAGAACCCAGTTCTGAGTTCTGAGGAACGGTCACTCAACCTGAAACATTAACTCTGAATTCTGTCCACAGATATTGCCAGGCCTGTTGAGCTTTTACGGAAATTTCTGTTTTTGGCCTGTTTAAGTGCTGCAAATGCTATGTAATTCCAACTAGTTATCTTTAGAAGGTTTGAATGATTTTTTTTCTGTTCTAGAGTCAGTCCGAATGTTAACCCCAAGTTACAAAACCATCGGCAAATATGGAAAAGGGTGCATTAGTTTTAGGCATGTACAGTTTAAGCAATGGTGTTTATCAAGTGAGGGTGTGGGTGGGTGGATGTGAATGTGTTTGAGTGTGTCAAGGGCAGGTGGGTGGAGGTGGATTAGGGTGAAACACACTGAGTGAGTGAATGAAGTAATTGCAATGTTGCAAGTTGTAAATTAATTATTAAGGAATTATTTTTGCTTTTTGGAGCAGAGGAAAATATTTATGGTCTTCACATGCGTTTTCCTGAAACGTAGGTCTTTACATTGGCTAATTTTTACATGCATAATTATCTATCTGCGAGGAAGTAATAGTGGCGATATTCTCTGGATAAGTAAATGTAAACCAGAATTAGTAAGTGAGCTGAGATACAATGTAACTCCTCATTTGGCTGGGGAATACATTAATTTCAAGTAACTCTCAATAAACACTACACCAACTCAGTAATGCTGTTGAGAGGAGTGTTTGGATAGAAAACTCATCCAGGATCCCTATAAAACTAGAGGAGCATTGATTTTAACATTATCATCCTTGTTTCCAAGTCCATCCAGGGCCTCACCCCTCTTCCTATCTCTGCTAACTCCCCCAGTCCTACAACCTAACCAGTCTCTGCATTCTCTCAAATTTTCGCATCTAATACATCCTCAACTTTAATCCACTACTGGCAACCATGTTAAAGTCCACAGGGAGTTCTGTGGAAGTGGCAGCAGGATTTGGACTTCACTCCAAAGTTTCTGCACAAATCAGTTTCCCATTGACAGGGGTGCAAGAATAGGCCTTCCTCTTGGAATGACTGGGAGAACAAACAGAGCAGCATAAGCTGCTAGAAGAGGAAGGGGATTGAGGAAGGGCACTAATATTCTTCGGAGGCCTCATTTGCTCAGGGTTTTCAGGTGGCTAATCTACTACTTTAAAATCTGCGTGGTTGGTATGTCAGAAATCTGTGCCATAGGAAGAATGCCCTCACTGAAATTTACCAGCTGCTGCATGCCAATTGCAATCTTGGAGAAGAGCCATGAGCCTCTATGTACTGAGCTTGTTCCAACCTCTTCCAGTTTCCCTTTTGCATCAGGAGCTCTCAAATGAAAGATACTGATTATATTTCATTCTCTCTTGTCAGAGAGCAGTAGACATTGAGCGCACAGGTTTGTAGAGTTTGTTATGCAGATGTGATACCCTCATTCTGTACTATCTCACTGTACCATCACAGCAAGCACAAAGGGTGGCTAGTGGGTGATCAGGGATATCAACTGATGATATAGCTGATAATTCCAGCTCACAAGACGCATGTGTACAAAGTATGTAAGATGCAGAATGAGGGGTCTGGAAGCTTAATCACCTAGCACATTCGATATAGAGATTGACTGATCTCTGGAATAAGTAATATGGTGCTGAGTTAAATTAGCAAAAAGAAGGCATAGGCTGTTGGAAAACTGAAAATGCTCTACCAAGGAAGAAAGTTCTGAGAAGAACTGGGGTTTCTGCAAATTTATTCTGTTCTGCAAATCTGGTCCATGGCATTATTGCGGCATTTGCTAATGACATATAACTCTGATGGCTGCAACAAAAATTAAACATCTTCAGAGGGACTTGGATAAATTATGCAAATACCTTGAAATATAATAGCCATTAATACTAAACCTGTCTCACTCCCCAGCTCTTTCCCCATTGTCTCGTAAATCTTTCCTTTTAAAGTATGTATCAATTCCCTTCTTAAAGATGTTGTTGAATCTGCCTCCACAACTCCCACAGGTTGATCACATCTTGCTAGATAAGTGAATTCTTCTTGTCTTTCTTTCTAGTTCTTCGGCCTTTTCCTTAAATCTGTACCTTCAGGTTACTTGCCGTCTTGCCAGTGGAAATAGTTTCTCTTTATTTAAATTAAATTTGTTTTAAAATCCTTAATGATTTTGAACATCTCTATTAAATCTCCCCTTGATCTTCTCTGATTCAAGGAGAACAGTCTCAGCTCTTCCAGTTTCTTCAGAGGCCTGAGCTCTTCATTCCTGGCAGCATTTTGATAAATCTCATCTGCACTCTCTCCAAGGCCTTTAATTTCTTTCTATCTCTATGCATGCATTTGTCAATATTCTGTGTCCTAAAAAGTAACCTTCTCAAACCTTCATGATGAAGAGGCATTGCACTGATGTTATTTTTTTTCTTTTAACAGAAGGAAGAACTACACCCAGTACAGAGTTAAATGGTTTCTGTTGGTTCTGACATGACCATGAATAATTCCACAAATTTAACCTGTGATGTGTACATGCACCATGAGACAGCAAAAGTCATGTTTTCTTTCTTCTACATCGTTATTCTCATAGTTGGGTTAACAGGAAACATTTTAGCCCTGCACATAACGTTCCAAAAACATCAAAAGATCAATTCAACCACGCTGTATTTAATCCACCTAGCTATCTCAGATGCCCTCTTCACTCTTGCGCTACCAACTCGAATAATCTATACTGTCCGAGGATTTGACTGGCCATTCAGTGAAGCATTGTGCAGAATTTGTGCAGTCATTTTCTACATAAACACTTACGTCAGCATTCAGTTCATGACCTGTCTTAGTGTTGACCGATACATTGCAGTGGTACATCCGCTTCGATTTGCCAAGTTTCGGAAAGTACATAATGTTAGATATATCTGCGGTGCAGTGTGGTTCTTTGTTTTCATCCAGACAGCGCCATTGCTGTTTGTAACAATGACGAAGAACAATAACGGTTTGGTGACTTGCATGGAATACCCTAACATTGAGACAAATAAGAACTTGCCCAAACTACTTCTCCTTGCCTGCTTTTTAGGATATTGCTTCCCAGTCATAGTCATACTCTTCTGCTACTCACGAGTCAACGTGAAACTTTGCAGGACGGCAAAGGAAAACCCATTAACTGAAAAGCTTGGTCGGAACAAAAGGGCTATCACAGTTATTTTGCTTGTTCTGCTGGCGTTTCTGATATGCTTCACTCCATACCATATCTCCATTATGCAGTACATGATCCGAAAGCTCATCTCCCAACAGAGCTGTTGGCAACAGCAGGTCTTCAAGGTGAGCCTGCAAATCTCTGTCTGCTTCATGAACCTCAACTGCTGCATCGATCCACTTATCTATTTCTTTGCGTTTAAGGGCTATAAGAGAAAGATTTTGGGTATAATAAGACGTCACATCACATTGGCTGTCTCCACAAAGAGTAACTCTGAAAACAACAGCACTCCTGCCACTATGAGTCAAGTCCAAGGGTCTGGATCAGGATTTGCTAATTGCAATTGACGAATCTATTGTAGAACATTTTGGAGCAAGTGTGACAAATACTAGTCTTTTTTTTACTGTCACCTCAGTACCAATCCTTTGCCACATTCAAACTAAAGTATTACAGATCATTAGGTTACCGGCAGGAACCTGATATGGTTTTTAATCTGTTTTCTCAATTCAGCGTGGTAAACTGTGTAAAGTTAATTTGGAGAAGTTTATCTATTTGTTATTCCACCCCATGTTTTGAGCTGGAACCTGGGAAGCTTCCCTTAGGTTGCAGAGTTGATCTGAATCAAAAGGTCATGGGTTCAAGTCTCAATCAAAGCAGGTTTTTAATTCATTTATGTGATTGGACATGGCTGGCTGGGCCACCATTTATTACCCATTCTTAATTACCCTTGAGAAGGTGGTGATGAGCTGTCTTCTTGAGCCACTGCAGTCCTTTAGCTGTACAAACACCCTCAATGCTGTTAGGGAGCGAGTTCCAGAATTTCAACCCTGTGACAATGAAGAAACAGTGATATAGTCCCAAGTGAAGATGGTATGTGCTTTGGAAAGGATCATGCACAGAGTTTACATGCATGTGCTATCTTTTTTCTTCCAGGAGGGAGAGCCATGGGTTTTGTGGAGGGAGTGAATGTTGAAGGGGGTAAATTGCAAGGAAAGGGGCTCAGCTTTGTCCTGGACAATATAAAGTTTCCTGAATGTTGTTGGAGCAGTACTCATCGAGGCTAGTACAGGACATTCCATCATATTCCTGACTTGTAGATGTTAGACAGGCTTTGGGGAGTCAGGAAGTGAGATATTCCTAGTCTCTGACCTGCTCTTCAACCACATTGCAATCATCCATGATAATCCCCATTTCTGACATTGTGATGGAGGGAAGATCATTGATAATGCAGCAGAAAATGGTTAGGCCCAGGATACTACCCTGAGGAAATCCTGCAGACGTGTCCTGTAGCTGAGATGACCAACCTCGAAACACCACAACTATCCCCCTGTGTGCAGGTATGACTCCAATCAGCAGAGAGCTTTCCTCCAATTCTTATTAACTTCAGTTTTGCCAGGGCACCTTGATGCTACACTCAGTCAAATGCAGCCTTGTTGTCAAGGGCTGTCACTCTCCCCTCAACTCTTGAATTCTGCTCTTTTGTCCATATTTGAACCAAGGCTGTAATGAGGTCGGGAGCTGAATGGCCTTGGCAGAACCCAAACTGAGATTCAGTGAGTGGGTTATTGTTAAGCAGATGCTGCTTTGTAGCACTATCAGCGACCCTCTGCCCACTTTACTGATGATCGAGAGCACACTCATATGATTACAATTGGCCAGATTGGATTTCTCCTGCTTTTTGAGGACAGCAAACATGTGGCCAATTTTTCACCTTGTTGGGCAAATGCTAGTGTTGTAACTGTACTAGAAGACCTTTGTCAGGGGTGCATCTAGTTCTGGAGCACAAGTTTTCAGTTGTATTACCAGAATGTTGTCAGGGCCCACAGCCTTTGCAGTACTTAGTGCCTCAAGTTGCTCCTTGATATCATGTGGGGTGAATCGAATTGTCTTAAGCCTATCACCTGGGATGCTGGGGACCTCAGGAGGAAGCTGAGATGAATTATCCACTTGGCACTTCTGGCTGAAAGTCCCTGCACCTTTTACACCAATGTGATGGGATGCAAGTAGTCCTGTGTTGTAGCTTCAGCGAGTCGACACCTCATTTTTAGGTATGCATGGTGCTGTTCTTGGTATGCTCTCCTACACCCATCCTTACTCCAGGGTTGAACTCCTGGGAGGAAATGTAGGCTGTGAGGGTACAGGTCATAACATCTAGGCCAACAGTCCCAGTATCGTACTGAGGAAGTATTAGACTGACAAGGTCCTGAGTTTTGGATAGCACATTAAACTAAGGCCTTGTCCACTCTCTCAGGTAGCCATAAAGATCCCATGACACTATTTTTTAAAAAATAAATTAGATCAGTGTTTTTGCCAATATTTCTCCTTCAACCACATTTGGTCATTACTGTTTACGGGGAATTTTCTGAATGGACATTGGCTATAACATTTCCTTCCTTACAACAGTGACTACTTTTCAAACATACTTCATTGCCAGTGAAGTGCTTTGGGGCATCGTGAGGCTGTGCAAGCTGTTATAGAAATGCAAGTCTCGCTTTTCTTTCAACTTTCACTTATTGAACTGAGGAGTATTAAATGTGTGGACAAGTTGACAAAAAGAATTTCTGTGCTTTTGATGTGAAATAAACACAAGTCATTAGTAACATGTGCCAGAGCTAATTCAGTATAAGGTGCGAAATATGCTCGGCAAATTTGTTCTGTGATGAATTAAAATATCAGAAAAGATGAATAAAGTTGTGCTTAAAACGAACTCTTCCACCATGGCAATTCCAATTTCACACAGGCCTGTATAATTAAACATAGAGCTAGATGCCCAATCAAGCAGATAAAATTACACGCAGCACATGATTCCAAGACCAGGAACAAGAGGGAATGTTTCTGAGGAACAGGTTACAAATGAAACAGGAATCATGAAACACTAATCAAATTCCAAAATAAAAGGAAAAAACTTCAGGTGGTGGAAATTTGTGTTAAAAACAGAAAGTACGGAAAAGAAAATCAGCAGGTCTAGCACCATCTGTGCACAGAGAAAGAGTTGATGAGCATTTTCAACACTTTCCGTTTATGCACCTTAAATTCTATTTGTTAACGTTGGAAGATTGGGCTGCGGGAAGATGTGACGATAGCTTTGGAATGCTCTCAGAAAGAGCCAGCAGAGACCTAATGGTCAAATGTCTCCATCTACCTTGTACACCTCTGTGGTGCTGAAAGTCAATAGGTTACAAAATAAAGTCTTATTTTCTTGCAGAATTCATCTAATGCAATGATGGTTTATGTTACAAGAGAAAGTTATCAGTTTAAAATAGATTTGGCCATTAAATATTGTTTTGTGAAGAAACTGTTAATAACAATTCATAATAAAATGGAATTGCACAAACTCTAAACACAAACATTTTTGAACAAGCAACACAGTTAGTTACAAGAGGCCAATTTTCACCACAAGAAGTTTACTTCATTTACATGCTTAACAAACCAGCCAGTACAACCCTCTGCAGCAAAGAATTCCACAGATTCACTGTCCTCTGTGAGAAGAAATTTCCCTCATCCCTGTCTTAAATGGGCAACCCCTTATTCTGAGATTATGCCATCTATCTACAAGGTGAAACAACCTTTCCACATCTACCTTGTCAAATCCCTGAAGAATATCACATGATTCAATAATGTTGCCTCTGTATTCTTCCAAACTCCAATAACGGCCCAACCTGCTCAACGTCTCCTCATAAGATAATTCCTCAATACCCAGGATCACTCTAGTGAACATTTTCTGGACTTCCTCGAATGCCAGTAAACCTTTCCTTAGAAAACTGTTTGCAGTATTCCATCTGTGGTCTGACTCGTGCCTTGTATAGTTTTAGTAAGGCTTCCCTATTTTTATACTCCATTCCATTTAAAATACAGGCCAAAATTCGATTTGCCTTCCTGTTACCTGCTGAACTTGTATGCTAGCTTTTTATGATTTATGGATGACAATTCCCATTTCCCACTGTGCTGTCGCGTTCTGCAGTCTTTCTCTATTTAAGTAATATTCAACTCTTCTATTTTTCCTGCCAAAGTACATAACATTACATTTTCCCACATCTGCCAAGCTTTTGCTCACTTGCTAACCTGTTTATATCCCTCTGCAGACTCTGTGGCATCCTCACCACTTGCCTTCCCATCTATTTTTGTGTCATCTGCAACCTTGGCTATAATATATTCACGTTCCTCATCAAAATCATGAACATATATTGTAAATCATTGCGACCCCAACATTGATCCCTATGGCACTCTACTAGGTACAGGGTTCCATTTTGAAAATGCTCCCCTTATCCAAACTCTCTGGCATTTATTAGTTAGCCAGCCCTTTATCCGTGATGATATACTACCTCCAACACTATAGGTTCTTGAGTAGCCTTGTGCTGCCATATCAAACACCTTTTGAAAATCTAAATTCATTATATTGGCTCCTTCCCCTTTATCTATGTATCCAGGTTTGGGCTTATAATTGGCAAGTAAAATTTGCATCTCACAATTGCCAGGCAATGATTATCTCCAACAAGAGAGAATCTAGCCATTGTCCCTCGACAATGGAATTACATTCACTGAATCTCGCACTAGCAACATCCTGGGGGTTTCCACTGACCAGAAACTCAGCTGGACTAGCCATATAAATATTTTGGCTACAAGAGCAGGTCAAATGGTATAAATTCTGCAGAGTGTAATTCATCTCCTGTCTCCCCAAAGCCTGTCCACCATCAGCCAGGCACAAGTCAGAAGTGTGATGGAATACTCTTCACTTGCCTGGATTGGCAACAACATGCATAAAGCTTGACATCATCCAGGACAAAGCAGCCTACTTGGTTGGCACCTTATCCACCACATTCAACATTATCCACCTTATCCACCACCAATGCACAGTAGTATTTACCACCTACAAGGCACTCTGCAGTAACTCACCAAGGCTCTTTAGCAGCACCTTTCAAACCCGTGACGTCTACCACCTAGAAGGACAAGGGCAGCAAACGCACGGGAACACCATTATCAGCAATCCCCCTCCAACTCACACACAGTCCTGACTGTTCAACATTTTGTTCTGTGCTGTCTGCGGATTAAGATCCTGGAATTCTGTTTAACAGCACTGTCGCGTTTCTACACCCCAAGCATCAGTGATTCAAAAAGGCTGCTCATCACCAACTTCTCCAGTGCAGGGACGAGTAATAAAATAATGCCTAGCCAGTGATACTCACACCCCATGAATGAACCAAAAAACTTTACAACCTACCTCTTCAAACAAGCTTTCAGTCATCTGTCCTGATCCTCTTAAGTAGCTCAGTGTCAAACGCTATCACATAACACATCCGTGTAGTTTTGCAATGTCAAAGGCGCTATGTAAATGCAAATTACTGTTACT